TAATGGTGAAGAATTCATATTCTTTGTAAGCCAAGTTATAAAAAATAACTTCAAAGGCACAGATTTAACAATGCTTTTCAATGCCAAAATCATACTGGAGTAGCAGCAAAGCTGATGAGAAAGTGTAATATATATATTTTTTAAACATAAGAGATTTGTGAAGAAACTCCTTGCAAATTATCAAATGTCTGGCACATGGTATAATTATAAAACCTTTACCTGAGGAAACATAAAAATCTTTTCTTTGAAATATCAGTGGATGATTCTTAGACCTTTCTTGTTACTCGCCCATTGCTACTTGGAGTATATTAAATTCTTGCAAAGTACTAATAAAATGTATTTGAGGACACGTGAGTTGCTCAGTCAGTTAAGTGTCTGCTTTCAGCTCAGGTCATAATTCCAGGGTCCTGGGATTGAGCCCCATGTCAGGCTCCCTGCTCGGTGGGAAGACTGCTTCTCCCTCTCCCACTCCCCCTGCTTGTACTCTCGCTCTCGCTATCTCCCTCTCTCTCAAATAAATAAATAAAATCTTTTTAAAAATTTAAAAAATAAAATATGTTTGTATTCACAACTGTCTATCACCTCAGAAGTTCATGCATCAGATGAAGGTGCAAAGTGAAGAAAATCATGCTTTAAACACCTGAAGTGTTTAATCATACTACAATGCTTATAAGTACCAAAACCTGCATTCCTGGGAAACATTTCTTACCACTAAAGGACTTCCACACCAGCTGAAAATAAAGAGGCACTATCCCCCGCTAAACATTGTGAAACATTAATATGTAGATATTTTCTCCTTTAGAATTGCATGCAGCCATATACAATGAAATATTTATATGCTTCACACAACAAAATTTCTGGGGAATGGGGAAAATAAATAGTCCAGGGCTTTTAAAATGATATCAGAAGTCTACATTGCTTTCATCTTCCTGATTTTCCACTCTTAGATATGACCTCTGCAACCTTTCAGGAATAAAGGACAATGGAAGCAAAAGAGAACCTGCTGATACCTACATCCATCCCATCATCCAGCAGTGAGTCTTCTGCTCATACTTAGCTGGAAGTGGGGGTGGGAAGTAGAGTATTGCAAATCCTCAAAGTCTGTAGTTAAGTTGGTTATAAGATAGAAGATATAGATCGGTATGTTCTGATCCAGTCTACAGCATCTCCCACTACAGTTTCTGTGAATCTGTGGATTCGTTTCCTATTGCTATTGTCATAAATCACCATGAATAAATTGACTTATAATAGCACACATTTATTACCTTACAGCACTGTGGGCCATAGGTCCAACATGGTTATCAGTGAGCAAAAATCAGGTTGTGAACAGGGCTGCATTTCTTTCTGGAAGCTCTAGTGTTGATTCCATTTCCTTGATCAATTAGATTATTGACAGAGCTCAGTTCCCAGACTTTGCAGGACTGAAGACCCTGTTGCCTTGCCATGCATTGCCAAATGTCATGCTTAGCTTCTAGAAGTCACCAGAGAAAATAGGCCACAAACTACTTTGTGACTTAAAGTGAATGTGTTAAAATCTTTTATATACCCTCTACCCTCTTTTTCATATGTCATACAATTCCTTGATATAATAAGCTTTTTAAAAATCATTTTTGTAAAATATAATCACTACTACATTCTTAGAAGTAATTGTGCTTTTTTACAAGTATTTTCTTCACAGGAACCTTATGTCCAAGTTGTTACTATGTGGAGGAAACAATACATGCGATCACTTGGGAAGAGGCAATCTTTTACATAGAACAACACTCATCCGAAATGAATTTAGACAGGAATGTGCATGTTTCCTTTCTAATAAAATATATGCTGTTAATGATGTATATATTGACATGATGTATATATTGACCCAGCTATTTTGACATGACAAAAAATATAAATCTTCAACAAATTGTACAAGAAGTCATATATTGCATTCCCCATGTACTGGGTGGCCAGAACTCAGTAAATGGGACTATCTAGAAGACTTGTGTAATATAAAAATCAGAAAAAAAGGGAAGATATATGAGAATAAGTTCTTGGTCTCTACTTCAAAACTATGTATGCTGCCCTTACTATCAATCATGGGCTTATCAAAGAATTATATTTTAGGTCAGATGACCATTTTTATAAACTATGTCATAGTTTATAACTATCACTATTATACTTTCATAACTTAATTTATTTATTTGAGGGAGAGAAAGAGAGAGAGAGCATAGGAACCAGGGTCGGGAGGGCAGGAAGAGAGAGGGAGAAGCAGACTCCCTGCTGAACAGGGAGCCCAATATGGGACTTGATCCCAGGACCCTGAGACTATGACCTGAGCTGAAAGCAGACACTTAACTGACTGAGCCACCCAGGCGCCCCCTACAGTTTCTTTTTGATCAACCCCAATTAATAGAATATATAATTAAATTAATCCAACGACTAATTTCTACAGGCTACCTCATTGTGAATTAACAGAGTGGGAAGACGAGGGATAAAGATATAAAAAGAGAAAAATACAAAGGTCTCAAAGATTTTAAGTATAAAAGAGGTCATAATCCTACAGTTTTTAATTGGCACTGGACTCATAATGATAGAAGTGTTCGTTAACATTTTATTTGAATACTAGGGAATATTTAGCTCTGTTCCACAATCCTCATTTAGATGAACAAATAGTTGGCTAGCACATTTTTGAAAAACTAAACATAAATAATGTAGAAGGAAAACAATTCCAATGTGTAAATAAGTTAGGTTTTCTTCCCTAGGTAACTCATACTGTGGAATGTATCCTTTCATCAAAAATAGCATTCTATTTATTGTCTCTATTAATTTGAGTATAAAATATCACACAGCTAGAGATTTCACTAAGAATTATACTGAAATACAGCCAACACTTCCATTTTTGGTGCTTTAAACTTTTCCAAATGCTTCTCCATGCCAGGTGGATACTGACCTTTGTAATAGTCCTAGGAGTTCATAAAAAATAGATTGTGACAATTTTATTAATTATGAATTGTTAAAGACAAGACAACAAGCTCAAAATGGAAACACTTATACCAAGCCACACATCACCAAACCAAAAAACTTAGCTCCAGTTATGGCTCTTCCAAAAAATGGAATCCAAAAGCACTCAATCAAGAAGTACGTGGTTAGCATAGGTGACATGCCTGGTACCAACCTGCCATGCCCTATGAGGAAAGTAACTTTGCAACAACCAATTCCATTTGTGCCTAATGTAACTTCCTTGTTCCTGCTTCTTTCTGCCTTTAGAATCCCTTGCCTTGGGTAGCTTTTCAGCGCTTCTTTCTACCTGTTGGATTGAATGCTCCCTGATTCATGGCCAAAAAAAACAAAAAAAACAAAACAAACAAACAAACAAAAAAAACAAAAAACAAAAAAACAAAAAAACCCAATAAGATCTCTAAGGTTTACTTAGTTGAATTTCTGTTCTTTAACCAATTGCAATTAAAAAAAAAAAAAGTAGCTGAAGGAATTGCTCAAGATGTTGGTAAAGAGACAATTTATTTAGTTTAATTTATATTAAATTATCTGAACTCCTGGGATAGCACTGTTTCTGTGACATCGTGATTCCTGCTTCACTAAATTTCAGAAACAAAAAACACCAGCGCTACTATCTGTACCATAAACATCCTCTTTATCATTACTATCACCACCACCACCATCTTCATCATCATCATGGTCTTTATCACGGACATACATAAAATTCTTGTATAAAACATTAAATGAGTAGAGGTATAAACGTATATACTTCCATGGATAAAATACAGAAATAGATAAATGTGGTACATTATGTTAGATGGTAGAGGATGTAAATGGCTTGATGAAACAAAATATAAAAATTAAAGGACAGGAGTTAATATTTTTGATAGGCATATGTACAGTTATAGCTACAACTACAAAACAGCATAATTTTCAAAGAACTGCTAACAGAAGTTCTCAGGGGAAGATGCACTAAGTAATCTCTTCATGCCAGTGACTGACTTGAGAATCTGGAACTGGGAGGATAGGCATGAGTGGTTCTGTTAACAGGTGCTCTCTTTCCTTGATAAAACCAGTTCAAAGGTTTAATACTTTAAGACACTTTAGAAAGGGCTGAAGGCATGAAAGTTTAGGCACACTAACGTAAATGTGCAGACTTTGCATAATTCTGCAAGTAATTTCTAACTCATTCCTTCGCTTTCAAACTCACAGATGTTTTATTTTCAAAATATGAATTGGTATGGGGGTAACTGTTTAGAGTACCAGTAAAGAAGAGGTGAAATAATTCAAAACAAATTACTTTGGCGGCTATATTGTTAAGTTAAACGCAGAAGAATGTTATTAGGAAGAAAGCTAAGTAAATGTAAGACTTTCTTTCGGTATTATAATTGGAGTAATTCCACATGGCTGCATGGTAGCTTAAATAAATGTGCTTTCAGGGTCGGTTGATGGTCTGAAATCTCTCCATTTTGGCAGGAGTCTGAGGCATGTCACAGCAATATTCACTTACCCATTGATTTATTTAATCAGTCATTCAAAAAAAATTTGTTATTTAACTGCTATTTCCAGTCTCTGGTTATAGAATCATAAAATGTTAACAAATACCAGTGTGAAGATTTAGGAAATTATTTAGGTAAGCAATCATATATTTTTAGTATAATCAAGCCAAAAATTCTAACAAATTGAGTTATTTTTATATGAATTTGATTTATATTCTAATTGCACATGAAATGTGTGCATTACTATTTTAATCACGAGGTAGGATAATTTTTTTTTTTAAATGTTGTGTTAGTCACCATATAGTGGTGATATATAGGGGTTATTCCTTAGGTTTGGAGCACTGAAGACAGATTAATTTGCCTGGTCTGTCTCCAAGCACAATAAGTTGTAGGTTGGTGTTTAGAAGTATCTAGAAGTACTTCCTAAGCTGGAAGCAGTTAAGTTCTTAAAGAGGAATGCAGAGCTTTGAAATCTTTCTCTGAGACATGCGTGGCAAGCAGCTAAAGCACTTACAATTAAACTCGTCACACTATCTTTTTGAGTAATAGTCTTTTCAGTGCTGCAATCACATCCTTGTTCCTAAGGCTGTATATCATGGGGTTAAACATCGGAGTCACTATGGTGTAGAAAAGAGAGAGCAGTTTGTCAATTCCTGCCGTATGATTGGATTTGGGCCTTAAGTAGGTGATGGAAGCTGATCCAAAGAACAAAAGAACAACCAGCAGGTGGGAAGAACAGGTGGAGAAGGCTTTGGCCCGTCCTCCAGCGGTTGGCAAACTCAGAATGGTGGAAATGATTTTGCTGTAAGAGGCAAGAATCAACATAAAAGGAACTGTGACAAACAACATAGCTACTACATAGACCGCTGCTTCGTGCACCCAAGTGTCCCCACACGCGAGCTTGAGGATGGGGGGTATGTCGCAGAAGAAGTGGTTAATGTGGTTGGAATTACAGAAATGTAGAGAGAAAATCTGACATGTTTGCCCTATCTGGACTGGAATTCCACCGATCCAGGAGCTGACAGTCAGCTGGAGGCACAACTCGTGGTTCATGATTAGAGGGTAGTGCAGAGGGTTACAAATGGCCACATAGCGGTCATAGGCCATCACTGCCAGCAGGAAACATTCAGTGGCTCCAAGCATAAGGAAGAAGCACATCTGAGTGGCACAGCCCAGTATAGAAATGCTTCTATCTTGAGTCCAAAGGTTCACCAGAATCCTGGGGAGAGTGACAGACACATAACAGATTTCCAAGGAGGAAAAATTTGCCAGGAAAAAATACATGGGTGTCTCTAGTGCAGCGTCAAGCCTGGTTATTATTATGATGAGGCTATTTCCAATTAAGACAATAATGTAAATGATGGAGAACACCCCAAATAGTAACCCTTGCAGGTTTGGAAGGTCAGAAAATCCCAAGAGTACGAATTCTGTTATTGTGGAAGCATTGTCTTCTGTTCTCATCTCTTCACACGTCATCTGTGGGAACAATTGAATCAAAAGTCCAAGTTACCCTGATTTCTTTGGTTCTTTTGTTCTTATACATGAACAGGATGGCATGCCTCCCAGTTCTTTCCCATTCCCCTATTAAAACAAATCTATAACTGCCAGGGCTCTAAAATTGTGGTGAAGTACATTTTTCATTACTGTTAAATGCATTTGTAAGAAAAAAAAATCCCCATTGCGTTTTATTTCTGCTATGAATTATCAGGTTTCTTTGCCTCTGAAGATAAGTGCTTGTCATTTTGCTGTCCATCTGAACACTCAAAATTGCAAAATCTGAGTTTATGTTCAACTGTGACAAGGATTCCATTCTTTCACCAGCCATGCTTTCTCCTCATCTCTCAGTTCTGTTTTCTATTATCATCAATTCAAAATTTATTTCATCGCACAAGTAAATAATTTGTAAGCCACCTAAATTGGTTTTAGTGCTGAATATGGTTCATTTTTTAAAGTAATGGGCTTCTGTAGTATTTCTAAGTCTCTTTAAGCTTCCACATTCCGCATACTTGGGCTCTTTTACTATAAAATGAAATTGATGAGCTAAACACTAAATGTTATGGGGTGTTATTTAATCTTTAAAAGTGTATTTCAGTGTAAGAGCCATGAAATCAACAGTCATTTTTTTCAGGTTTTGCAAAAGGGAGAAGAGGAAGTCTAAGATGGTCTATGTCCTGAAATACTCAAGAGGTTAAGAGGCAGGTTCATCTAGCATTTATGTTTAAGGAAGCCATCTCAATTACAATGGACACACCATATATAAGAAATATCAACCAAAACTCATCTCTGAGATATTCTTAAATTACCCAGATTCTCAATAATTGATATTCTGCTGACCCCACTTACCCCATTCAGTCTTTTCCTTGCACACACGTGTGTCTATGTTCATGCACATGAGTGTACCTAAGTGTATATGCCATCTTTATAATGCACTATTCTCATTGTCATAACTAGATCATAAATATATTTTCATATTCTCTATATCTTTCTAAGCACTGCATAGTATATTTGCTCTGCAAAATTTGAAAAAAATTACAAATGAGCCAAATTGGTTGTTTCTTTGAAATAGTCTTACATCCTTACACAGTCATGTAAGCATGGGTTCCTAACCTAAAAGGCATACCTCCTCTGCCTCTTTCCCTCCTGGTATAGATCAAGCATGTCTTCTCTGGTGTGTGTGTGTGTGTGTGTCTGTGTGTGAATTATACTCTTTTCATTCACTCTTGCAGAAGTAGTAATTTGCTTCATTGTTTTCAGTATGTCCTAGATAACTTCCATATTATGAGTTAACTAATTTGAAAACCCATAGAGACTTACTCACCTCTAACCATAGTCTAAGGGTGTTAAATATGAACAGTGGTCACAATTTCAACTACAAAAAAGTAGACAGATATGGGGCAAGAACAACAGTCTATGCAAAACTTGAACATCCTGAAGACTTTCTGTGGCTGAGAAAAGGGAAACTAAATGACAATTTCTTTTACAATCTATAATATTCCAAACTACATACTAAGTAAAGATATTTAAACCTTGTCCCGCTAATATAAAATTCACCCAATGGAAATTTGATTACAGGGAACGTGAAAATGCTATAACTAGGTCCTAAGATGGTCAGAAATTAGTAGCTGATAGGTGATGTACAAGGCTACACAACTGAGGCTGCTTTTTACTGCAATACAATAGCATACACACTTTTAACCATGTTTTATTCACTTATTTAATTCAATAGAGTCCAATATTTGGACAATTATTCAAATTGTTTGTTGAATGAATCACTGCATCTTTTAGACTAACATGCCTCATGCCCCCACGTTTGGCCAGTAAACCATTGGTCTCAGAAACTGCTGTTCTCTTTATTCTCAGTATTGGATCTGTCCTTCGTGTAAGCCCTTCTCTCATTCTTTGGTCTTCTCTACATTTGTCTTTGCTGTTCAAGCGGGGTGGTGCGTTTGAAAGGCAAACTGAAAACTAAGATGCCAACAAACAATTAACAAGGAGAAGCAACATCAAAATTGCAATCAAGAATATAATGTTCTGGGGCACCTGGGTGGCTCAGTGGGTTAGAGCCTCTGCCTTCGGCTCAGGTCATGATCTCAGGGTCCTGGGATCGAGCCCCGCATCAGGCTCTCTGCTCAGCGGGGACCCTGCTTCCTCCTCTCTCTCTGCCTGCCTCTCTGACTACTTTGTAATCTCTGTCTATCAAATAAATAAATAAAAAATCTTAAAAAAAAAAGAATATAATGTTCTAGGGGTTCTTAGGTGGCTCCCTCATGTAAGTGTCCAACTTGATGTTGGCTCAGGTCATGATCTTGGGTTGCAGAATCAAGTCCCCAGGCCCTGTGCTCAGCACAGAATCTGCTGGAGAGTCTTTCCCTCTCCCTCCCCTTTTGCTCTTTCCCCCAGTGCTCTCTCTCTAAAAAATATTTTTTCTTTTTAAAGAATATAACGTTCTACATTTACTGAACTTTTTTTCTTCATCTCAGCTTTTCATTTGTAAAATGGAACATTCAATGGATTCTCACTGTAAAACCATTTATAAAATTAGAAAGGATATAATAATTAGTAATTAATATTTAATAATAATTAAAAACAAATATTCAAATGCTAACTGAATCATGTGTTTTCCTTCTAAACATAACCTTACCAAAAAAAAAAAAAAAAAGCTTCCTCAAATCTTGCAGCATAGTCCCTATTTCTCTGATCTGGAAAACTTTAGATGCTCTATTTATACAACTCGGAAAAAAAACCATTATATAATGCAGGTAAATGTAGTGAATTCTGTTTTTATTAAAATATTTTCTGTTTGTTTCTCTGGTCTTCCCACTGAAACAATCATTTTTTTTTTAATGTGGAGATTGGGATGTCAATGACAACTATCAATGTGATGTATAAAATGCTTATATTCATAGCAAGTTTATAAAATCAAATTGAAGACAAGAATAAAAAGTCAGAATTTGGTGATTGCAATTCAGAAAGCCTTTCCTTTAGATGTGTCTAAAGATAAAAATGAAAACATGCTCATCTCTTTAGCATCTTCGGGCTCATTTTTCATGGAAACTAACTCTTCACAAGCAAAGAATATCTTTGATTTTAGTAGGATGCAAACCCATTTCAAAAAAGTCCATTAACTATCTTGTTCCTTAGTTATATGTAATTAAATTTTCAGGAGACATGCTCTCCAGATTTAATACATGCAAACTACTTAAATACATGCTTAACACACAGTCGTTACACTCGTTAGCACCAAAGACCGTGACAGTGATGATTATGTTGATGATAATGCAGATGTCAGTAATCTCTGATATATTGGTCCATTACACTACAAAATACCTGGTATTTTTGCTCATGTTATAATAAGTCAGAAAAATTAAAAGGCTTTCTGAATCAGTGTTTTGAAATCAAACCAGAATAACTGTGATGACAAAGGATTACTTTTTAAATTTTCTGTAAATAAGTATTCTTTGCTGATGCCAAAAAAATATGGCTCTTAGTAAACTAAATTTGTATTAGACAAAAATTCATGCTTATCTGTTTTGAGTGAGGTTAAATTGAGATTAAATATAATGCTTACCTTTATTGATTGAGCATGTGAACTGTATTTTTGACAGGTAATTTACATTTATTTGAAACAGAAGTTAACCACTTTCTAAAATATGTTCCACTGTCATAACACCTAGTGCTCTTTAAGAAGGAAATATTCTTTTCCCTTGGGATCAGGTCCTTTCCTGTGTCACTTTCTAATTGAACCAAACCGTTCTGCCCGCTACTCAAGGAATTTGGTAAATAACCAAAACCGCTTTTGGCCATGCCACTCCTTCCCTAAATTCTTTACTCTCTTACTTTTTTTGCGATCATTGAGAAATGTGTTGTTAAATCAGAAATTTACAATTACATATGACTTACCATGTAAACTAAGATAGTCCAATAAAGACGCAAGTGCGCTTTGTCTTACATTAAAGAGAAGTTTACTTCTCCGTCATTAAGAATTCAGAGGTAAGAAGTCTAGGGCTGTTGGGACAATTCTGTCACCTTCAATGTGAGCCTGCCATCTTCATGTCCATGTCAGCCAGGTAGCATCGTCATCTCCCAAAGGACATAAAGACAGGAAAGGGGTTAAAGGGGAGCACTCACTTACTCAGCATTAGACTTGCAAACTAGAAGGAATAGTATGCAGAATTTCCAGGCATAATCCCTTATGTCAAATTTAGTCATAAGACTTTCCCTCCCTGAGCTGGAAGAAAAGCTAAAAAATATTTCTCTAGGTATTGCCATGCAACCAGCTAAGACTCTATGACTATCATTAATCCCCTTCAATTTTCCAAACCTAAAATGCCAAGGAGTTCTGGCATCCAGTTCTCAGCCAAGGATATCTTCAGGTCAATTGTGGCTTTTTGCAATGTATAATTATAAAATAAAATAATAATTTTCTGTAACACCCCCTACAAACAAACACACATAGACACACATTCACAGAATACAATGGAGGGAATATTAATTCTAAATAAGGAAGCAGGAGATTTATATGAAGATTAATGAACAAAGAGAGAACAGATTTTGGAAACATCATGGCCAGTGTTTTGAAAAGCTCTCATTTTCAAGGGTTATATATTTATTCACCAATTTTTAGTCATTTATTTTTTTTAATTTTAGCTACTAAAATATATGCATAGCATAATCTCATTGTGGTTTTAGTTTGCATCTTAATAATGGCTAATAATGATGAGCATCTTTCACATGATTATTTGACTTTTGAATATCCCCGTTAGCAAAATACATATTTAGGCTTTTGCACATTTGTTAATTAGGTTGTTATTATTGAGTTTTGGAGGTTCTTTGTATATTCTATATGCTTTTATGGGGAAGTGTGATAGGCAAGTATTTCCACCTTTGGTTGGGGTTTTAATTTTCTGAATATGTCAATTTCTGAGAAGTCCAATTTACAAACTCTTATTTAATGGATTGTTGTTGTTTTTTTTTTA